AATGGCCGCCGCGGCCGGCACGCTGCGGCCGGCGCACCACGCTGTTCCAAAGCCAGGAGCCAGGTACTTCTCCTGGTCTCCCATGGGGTGCAGGGCCCAAGCACTTGGGCCATCCTCCACTGCACTCCCTGGCCACAGCAGAGAGCTGGCCTGGAAGAGGGGCAACCAGGACAGAATCCGGCGCCCCAACCGGGACTAGAACCCGGTGTGCCGGCGCCGCTAGGTGGAGGAATAACCTATTGAGCCGCGGCGCCAGCCTACAAATTTTCATCAAAGCCACAAGTTCAATGCAAAGTAAAAAAGTCTATGATCTTCTCACAAACTATTATAAAGATAGTCTGAGATGAAATATTACCAAGAATAACTGAAATCTATGATGCATTGTTTCCATTTTCATGATTCTTTATTTGACCCTATCCAAAAGAGATCAATTCATTTGTTCTGTTAAGAATACCAATTTCTTAAAAAACTTAACATAGTTATTTTACTCTATTATCAGAAACACAGGCAATGTGTTAAACATGATGCTAACATAATTAATCTCTGAATTCCAGTGGCATCTTGTGCTTATAGAAGGATAGGGGGTACCTCAGAAACACTGTCATTTGAGGTCCTAATTTTCAATATTTTGGCATGAGGAATTACAGGGCATATATCTTCTCGTTTGAAAAAGGATAGCAAAAGAAAATAGGAATGAAGAGTACTGACCAATGTGAAGAATGGAGGAGAAATAGTCAAGTGAGAAGAGATGAGAAAGATAAAGGAAAGAAGAAAATTGTATTAGAAGAAAAACTAAAAAATAAAGATAACAACTTAGTAAATTAAAAAACAGTGAGACAGAAGCACATCTGTTGTTAAGACAGTATCATGGCACTGACTCCACTCTGGGAACCACTCTTTTCTCTTGACATCCAGGGAAGCAGCTGAACAATGAGAAGAGAAAAGAAGACAAGAACTTCAATGGGTCAACCCAGTTTCCATCTGTTCTGTTCATGTTGGCTTCCCCTTTGAACAACATTCTCCTGTTGTTCTGAGGTTGAAGGAGTAAGAAGGCAAAGAGTCAGAAATGAGAGACAAGAGTTAGAGAAAATAATGGAGACATATAAAGTTTGAGTGAAGTTTGTATGACTCAATATTCATTCAGTAGGTTCCCTTTCTCCTACTTTCTCTGCTCATTTTACAAGTCTTGCTCAACAATATTTACCATTTTGTTGGCAACAAAACCCACTAATTTACAGTATTTGTTATCCATTTCTAATACTCAGTGCCTAAAATCCTGATTGCTTGCTACAGTCTATCTTCTTCTTAACTATCCCCACTGGTTATATTCTATTCCAGCAGCCTTTACATTCACATCTATTGAACAATTTGTTGTCATAATGTAGCCATCAGGTTCCAGAAGATCTTCCCAAATAACAGTGAGTATGTTTTTATATTTACACAAAATAAAAGGAAATTTTTCCAAATGCTGGAGTCAACCATCAAATATGCTACTCATTTCAATGATATTCCTAAGAAGAAAGCATATATATTTTTAGTATGGATAGACTCTTTATAACATTTACCCAGAAAAAAACAGTATAATCATTATACTTAACAGATTCATTAGGAATATGCTCAAATATGTTTAATAATTATAAAGTTTCTACAGCTAAAAAAAACATGCTGAAAGAGCAGCAGAATTTCTGGTTCAAACTATGCTGAGATATCTCCCAGAGATAGAGATGTAGTGGCAGATGAAGTGGAAAAAAATCTTGGGAGATTCCAGCAGCCTTTGAGAAGTTGGATCTTCAGTGTTGGGGAAGACATGCATTAGGACTCAGTCTGCTTTGCTTGGTTGTTCCTGATTTTTTCTTCTTCCTACCTGGCAGCCACAGTTTCTCAGCCACAGAAGTATGTTGATTTGAAAAGCTTAAAAGCCACTTATAATAAAGAATATAGCAATATGAAAAAGGTCATAAAATTTCCAGTTTCATTTAAAGTAAGAAAATATATGTTAAAAAAACAAACTAGAAACATAAACATCTAGTTGGACATCTTGAAGGCAAACCAGACTAGCAATTAAACAAAATAGTATTTGAACTCATCTGTGATTCAATGAACTTTCTTAGACTCTTATGGAAAATTCTCAATTTTTTTCTATGTATTTTAAATAAAGAAAAACAATCTTATTTTAAATTGTATATTACTACCTGTAATATTAGGAAATTTCAGAATTACAGAAAAAATACTCACTGGGTTAGTATCATTCCAAACATATTTAACATTGGCTTTTCATAATTTATTCTAAATTGTTACAAATTTTAAAAATGTATCACTATACTGGTAAATTAATGGATTAGAGAATTAATATATTACTCCATATTTTAATGACATTTAATATATCAAAATCAACCCTTAATATTCATGGTAATGAATGTAAAAATAGAAGGAATAATTGTAGATTATAAATAACTTATCTATCTACAAAAGCTTTCATAGTAGCAAAATGCAGATAAATTCCATTTCATCACAACTCTATATTATCTTGTAAGAAGTTAAAAACACTATATAAACCACAACACAGGCAAAAGCTAGAAAAAGAGTGCAGAGTTGGATGCATTTAATAAAATGCATAATCCTTTCATAAATATGCTTATCACATGAACAGTAAGAAGGAAATGTGGTAACTGATCATATTTTTAAGCAAGGCTATTTTCATGGAATTCAATATATTGTCCTGTTTCTATTATAACCCCAAATCAATTTTTGGTGCTTGTATCAGTATGTCAAGAAATAGTACTCCAACTGACCCAATTGTTGAAGCAAGTAAAAGGGAGGGTAGGAAAGTTAATTGTTTTTGAGCTACTAATGTGTGCCCAGAATTTGTGATGGGTGTTTTACATATCTAATAGATTGGAAGGAAGGGAATGCATAAGGAAGTGGCAGTAAAGTCAAATTTCAAACCGATTTTTAATTAGATTTCAGATGATTCACTACCCTAGATATGTAAATTCTCGCTTCTTTTCTTAATTGACCCTTGACCCCACTTAATTTCTCATAAGATTTACTTACATGCTTGTGATTTTTCCCTTTTTGTATGCTAATTTCATACTTTAAGAGTTTAAAATAAGAGCATATCTCTTAGAGTCAGAGAGCTCTGAGTTGTGGGTGAGTTAAATAATCATTCTGAGTCTCGATTTCCACATATGCCTCCTTTGCATGATTTTTTTAGAGTAAAAGAAATAAAGTATGTAAAATACTTAACGTGATGCTTGGCACACTGTAGGAATGCAATATATGTTAGCTATAGTCATTGTTATTAGAAAAAAAGATACTTAAACAATAACTTTGAGTTACTTAAAGCTTTAAGCCAATTTCAGAACAAAAACAATAAGCAGGTTTTTCTAATCATCAAACTATAGAGTTCTCAATATTTTAGATTATTCTTGTGATGCAAAGGTGTATTTACATTCCCTCAATATTTAAAGTTAGCAATCCAAATAGATTTTATTAGTTTATAGACTTTTAAAGACTCTCACATTCATTTGATAAACATCAGAATCTTTGAACCAGAAAAAGTATCCTTTAAACAATTTTATTTTCATTAGAAACTGATTTCCATTCTCTTAGAATTGAATAACTGGAAATTCATGGAGATACTACTCAATACACGTCATATGTGTTAAGGTCAAATCACAAAGGGAGGCAGTACAAACTTAGAATAGGGAAAACCTGCTTGTCTACTGAAGTAGCTATGTTATTCCAATGCCAAATTCTTATCCTACAGGACAAGAAAGTTCAGTCATGGCAACCGTTTCATACAATTTCTAGTAATCAGAACAGAAAGTCATAAAAGCTATCATAGTGTGGAAACGCTTTTCCTGTTACTAACACTACTATTCAGTGTCAATCATACATGCATATATATTTTAAACTTTCATCAACTTTTTTCTTTACTTACAGAATGGACTCATTGAAGAAACACCATGAGCTTAATTCTCAATGTTTAGTAGCCTTTCAAAAGTATAACAAACTTCTCAGTTTATTTGATGTCAAAATTGAAATGGCATTTGCATTCAGATAATAATCATTTAGAAAAATTAATCTTTTCACAAGTTTGTTCTAACACTAGGGCATGCAAAAGTAAATTAAGTTAAATGGTCTAACAAAATAATTACTCACTCTGAAGAATTAGTGAGCTATAAATAGAAGATTTATTTAAAAAAACACACTTTTTTTAAATGAGGATTATTATGTTAACAACCAGATTATTTTAAGTTCATGTTTTCCACACTATATTTTGGCAGAGAGAGTGAGGGGAACCAGGTGAACCAATTGAGATATAAAGAACACTCCAAAATAAAAGCACATAATGTTAATTTTCTAAATCAAAGATTAGGCAGACAAATAGTCCTTGAAAATCTACCATAGGCACATAATGCATTGTCATTCATTCCTGTGTAAAGGGATTTGTGATATTCATAAGGTAAGAAAGTTTTAGAAACTTATTTAGCTAACTACAGTCCTCTTTTGGGAAATGAAGACCTAATTCAACTACTAAAGATTATTATTTTTTAAATCTAGGTTTAAAATCAACAAACAAAAAAATTCAACCAGTTCAATGAACAATGTTAAAGTACCTATCTACTAGGTAATGAAATAATTCATGAAAGTCCTAAAAGTTATATCAGAAAGTTAAATTTATATGCATCATCACATTAATTTCTATTTCACAAGTGCTTTCTCAGTTCATGTAGTGTTTACTAGTATGCTGTACTGTCCATATAGAAATAGCATATCTAACTTAACCACCGCTGATATTTCCTCATGCTCTTTTAAAGCCATGGTTTATATTCCATAAAATAATTAAGAATAATAAGAAGTTATTCAGTTATTTTTAAAGGCTCTGAAATTATTTTGTATACAAACAGACATTTCATTTAATTCATATTCTTTTAGGGCTTTATCAAATTTTTAAATTAGTTCCTCCCACTGACTCTTAAGGTAATTATACATACCACAGTCTGATGATTAACTTGAATCACTTCATCGCCAGCATGGATTTTCTTACACCGGTCTGCAGGTGACTGGATTTAACATAAAATAAATGGTAAAGAACATAAATTTTATCAGGCATTTTCTCTCTTTGAAAACAATATAAAAATTCACCTCGTTAAATTAGATTTAAAATTACAATTTTCAAAGAATTAAAACAACAAAAATGGTTATTAGTATTGAATATACTGCTAGATTTCTAGGTATAGCTAATGGAGGAAACAGAAATGTAAGACAATATAGAGGTATTTATGTTATAAAGGTATAACACATCTGAGTGCATCTGAGTACAACTCTGCTAGGCTCTACTATACAATTTCAAAACATTTACATTTACAAAACAAATACATTTCAAAACATTATCTTTTTTACTTTGACCTTTTCTATTTATGTAATTCACATTAATTTCAGCAAATCAATATTTTCAAGTATGTGCATATAATCAAAGCTTTGAAGTCTAATAATTAAATTGAAATTTGTTTTTCCAAAAATACCAATTTTGAATATTTTAGAAAAGCAAATTAAAATATGGATAGCAATTAGCTCAAAAGTGCATTATACAACATTCTCTGGTTATAAAGGCACGTTGTGTCTCACGTTTCATACTTGCCAACAAAACCACTCTAAGTGAACCAAAATGTCAACACTTCTCAAGATGTAACAATTCCATTAATTTTTTAATTATAAAAAGAGAATAAAAATAACAAACAAACAAAAAACAACCTGGTAACCAAAAAAGTTCACTAGTTTTAAGATGTGCTTAGTAAACTAACATTGGTTTATTCACAGGTACTGAATTTGAAATATTATTCTTTGTTCTTCCCTTGTGACTACTAATCATTCATGTAATATGGTATGTTGTGGTAGAAGCTATAAAGTAAAACACTACTTTCAAGACTCTGGAATAGGATTACTTCAAAAGCGATTTTTGTTGCTTTACTTTTGATTCACTTCCAATTTTTAATTATTTTAAAAACATATGAATCCTGAAACAATATTAAAATGACCATATTTTAAACACTCACAACAACATTATTTGTCACCATCTAGTATTCAAGATAAGATGGTATTCATGTTCTAAATGTTGAATAACACAAGTATATCACTAACAGGACAGATTTATCTAAGATAAACCAAACTACAAGAATGATGTCATAAGAAGAAAATAATGTATTTATTGAAAAGTATCTTTTGGTGGCAGACATATTACCAAATAAGATCAGTATTATGTAACTGTAGAGCTGTAACTATAATCTGTCCTTGTGGTATTTGGTCCTCAACTGATCTTTTTAAAGGAGAGTATGGAAGAAAAATATCAAATGGCTTTAGAAAAATATAAAAGAAAATGATAGTTGGTATACAAAACTCAAAGAAATTGAAACAACTTTTTGCATAGGTAAGCAAAAAGTGAGTAATGTACATAAATTACAGATCTTCAGTGTTGAAAAAGGTTCCTAAAGATCATTTTATCCAAACCACTAATTTTACATGTAAGAAACTAGGGTACAGCAGAGCCTAATAACTTATCTACTTCACTAAGACTGAACAGGGATCTCCTAATCATAAATGACTGAGGGGCACCAAAAATAGTAAAAAAAATTTTTTTCAAGAAAAAAAGAATCAAAGGATTAACTATGGTTCAAATATGAACTATTCTCGGAATCAATCTTTCTTCTTATCACTTATACATTTATTAAATACTACTGAGTAGGGATAGGTATTTGGCTCAGCACTTAAAGACACTTGGGTTGCCCACATTCCATACTGGAGTGCCTGGGTTTGGGTCTTGGTTCCACGTCCAATTCCAGTTTAGGAGGCAGTGGTGATGGCTAAAGTACTTGGGTTCCTGCCACCCATGTGGGAGTCCTGGATTGGCTTCCTGGCTCTTGATTTTGGCCCGGCTGTACTTCAGCTGTTGCAGGCATTTGGGGAGTGTACCAGCAGACAGATCTGTCTGTCTCTTTGCCTTTTAAGTAAATAAATAATTTTAAAAACAGTTGAAAATACTAAGTAATCAATACAAGCAAAGAATAGCATTCAACTTTTTTTCCCTTCAAGATACAGATCATAATTGCCAGTTTTGTGATTCCTTCTCTGATTTCACTTGGGCACATTTAGTATTATTTCCTTTATCCATCTAAGCAAATTTCACTATCTGCTTATACAAACAAACCCCTCCTTGTTATGTACTCTTTAAATGGTAGCCAGCTAGTTCATTTTTAAAAAAATTATTCCAATACCTAGCATCATGCCTGAAACATAACACACATGAAACTGAGGCTTGTTTAATGAACCAATGAATACGTGCATGAAAAAAAAAAGAATATGGAGGGCCAGGGCTGTGGCCCAGTGGGTTAATGCCCTGGCCTGAAGCACCGGCATCCCATAAGGGCACCAGTTCCAGACCCCAATGCTCCACTTCTGATCCAGCTCTCTGCTGTGGCCTGGGATAGCAGTAGAGAATGGCCCAAGTCCTTGGGCCCCTGCACCGGCGTGGGAGACCTGGAAGAAGCTCCTGGCTCCTTGCTTCGGATTGGCTCATCTCTGGCCAATTGTGGCCAATTGGGGAGTGAACCAGTGGATGGAAGACCTCTCTCTCTGCCTCCCCTTTATGTAACTGACTTTCAAATAAATAAATAAATCTTTAAAATAAACAAATCTTTAAAAAAAAGAAAAAATATGCAAATAAATGAGGATGATCAGTGGCAAGAGTACAGTTTGTAGCATCTTACTGTATTTAATATTGTTAAATTGTTCACAGTATGAGTTGAAATTGTGAGGAGTCAAATGGGTTAATAGGTAGTCAGGGGATCCCAATGGAATCTGGGGTGTAACATATTGCTTCCTTCCCCAAAACTTTATCTTCAACAAAAACAAACAGGCAGCCCTCCTCCCTTTGGAATCTTCCTGAGCTCACAGCTTCTGGATGGTTTTTTGTTTTATCAAGAGCAAGCCAGACAGGATAGAGAATTGTAAATCAGGCCTTTTGCTGGGTTTTGTCCCTGCCAGGTAACTGAATGCCAATCTGATTGTCAAGTTTTTTTTTTTTTTTCTTCCAAATTGTGCTTAACAACTGGAATGCTATGGGAGCCTTTTGGGGTTCTTTCCTCTCTTGGAAGCCTCCCCCCCCCCCCCCCCGCACGCTGCTTTGCCTGGAGGTCCTTGATTTTAATAAACAATAATTTCTTCACTGTCATTTTCTCGTAACAAAATGATTTTTTGATCCCCATAACACAAATATGAAGCTGCTACAATGATTCAAATTCAATGTATATGTATCTCTTCTTTCTAAAAAAAAAAAAAAAAAGCAGGGGTAAATTTCAGTAAGTAATTAAAATAGTGAATTAGATCAAGAGAATGTTGATTTTAAAAAGAAAATGCCTGTAAAATGCTGAGATCATGAGATCATAACTTGAGGGGAAACACATTGTACCTCAGTCTTTAAAGGAACATAGCATAAATATGTGATTTGTCATGTTTACAGCAGGTGATAATGGAATGAACCGAGGCCTTCAGCAACCAGGCAGTCAATCAGATGCTTCTCCATCCATACATGCCTGTCCCTGTGGAGCCCCAAGATACCCTCAGCGGGCCCCTGTAGACGATGTCCCCAGTCAGCAGGAAGTAGCCAGAGAGACTCATCGTCGCCCCCTTTCCTATCATCAAAAGGTCGGGATGGTAGCTTTGGGATCCGCATGGAAGGAAGGCCTACACTCCCGGGAATGGAGAGTCCCTACCTGTACTTGCGGGGAAGAAACTCCTTGTCAAGGTCCCTGCGGGTGCCTAAAGGTCAACCAATGAGGATCAGACCCGCCTCAACCTTTAACCCCCATGCCCTGAATCTATAAAAGAAGCACTCCCAATCTCTGACGCGTGACTTCCCCGGCCCCTGCTCTGTTGCTCTGTTGGGACCCGGGAACCGTCCCCGGGAGCGGAACCCCAATAGAAGCTTGTCAATTAATTCATTTGTCTGCTTGGGAAGATTTGTTATGTGCCAGACACCTTGCAGTCATAATCTCTAAAAGAAAAAATAAATTCAAATATCAGCACTTGCTAATGTAAGAATAGAATGGGAATATGGGATTACCAAATGCAGGGACAATAAATTATTTTACTGATTCTGCTAATGCTCAACATGATCACTTCCTATCTGTGTATATAGAGCACAGCTATTGTTCTCCATTCCACAGTTTTTCCTACTTATTAGTTTATTTGATTTCGCAACAATCTAGTGGGCAATACAGTGCAGATAACTCATTTAAAATTTATAGTTGAAGAAACTGAAGCAATCAGAGATTCAGTGACTTGCCAAAAATTACAGTGCTATTAAGATGCAGGATCTATTAAGATTGTAGGATCTATGCCTAGGGACTTCCAACCTACTGGTTACAAGATTCTCAAGACTTAGAGTGCCTCAGAATCACCTGTTAAAAGAGAATCTTTTAAAAAGCAGACTAAACTAGCCTCTTTTTGCTTTTTACTTGTTAAACTTCTTATTTGGCCTTTTTACTGTAATGTAAATTTAAAATGTTATCTTAGAAACTAAAGGAGGGAAAGTGAAAGAGGGAGGGAGGGAAGCAGGAAGGGACTAGCACTGTGTTCTTAGAATTGTATCTACAATGGGCCAGTGCTGTGCCTTAGCAGGTAAAACCTCCTCTGCCTGCAGTGCCGGTATCCCACATGGGTGTGGGTTCCAGTCCAGGCTGTTCCACTTCCAATCCAGCTCTCCGCTATGGCCTGGGAAAAGCAGTGGAAAACGACCAAAGCCTTTGGGCCCCCGCACCCCTGTGGGAGACTGGCAAAAGCTGCTGTCTCCTGACTTCTGATTGGTACAACTCTGGCCCTTGTGGCCATCTGTGAATGAACCAGTAGATGGGCTCGCTCTCTGCCTCTGCCTCTCTGTGACTCTGCCTTTCAAATAAATAAATAAATCTTTTTTTAAAAAGCACACTGAATCAAAAACTAAATAAAAATTGAAATTAAAAAATTTTTAAAAGTGCAGCAGACGGGTTCCTAGACTGATTGAGTGGGATTGGAGTAAGACCTGACAATTTGCATATGATGCAAGTTTTCAAAGGAGTTACTCAGCTGATTCAGGCACCCTGCTGTGAAAACTACTCAGCTACACTGTGCTGCCCTTCTATTGAAGTAAGTTGAATTATAAGGCAAGTATTCAGAAAACCTGATTTTCTCTAATGTTTCTTTGTCCCATGAATTATGTCTCTTAAAATAACCCATTTGATAGACAGAAGCAGATTCTTTTAGGTGTCACAATAACTTGTCCTGAAGCAGAAAATACTGAACAAAGACAAATCTTTGGCCACAAAGAGAAAATACCTGATTTACTTAAAGTAACCAAACAAAATGATTAGAATTCTAATTAAAACAGCACCTAAAAACTTAGTATGTCTTTAATATCTCCCATCTGATCATACTTTGAGACGTCAACCTTCAGTCATTTAAGATACATAAGTTGTTTAACAATAAAAGGGAAAAAAAATCACACGCCACACTTTGAAATGTTACAATACTTACATTTTCTGTGGTGCCAGTAATTACATGGAGGCCGTCATATGTTGATTTAATATACATACCCTAAGAAAAAGACAGCATCAGAAAAAAAGTGAAGCAACTGGAATATTTTCAAGCACATTATAATCTCACTTACAAAAAAATTACTCTATCAAATTAAAATTGCCACATGTCCCAGGGATGATCCATGACTTCACAATGCTGGCTTTAAGTTGGTAAGAAATTAGTATCTGAAAGTTCTATTTTCCCAAATTTCTTCAAAGAAACCTACATTCATTTTAAAAAATACTTGATAAGTGAATTACCTTCGAGACTTATAATAAAATGCATCATGGTGATTCAGTACTTTGAAGAAAGAACATACCTCACAACTCCCAAAATCTGTACTATGCTAGTGTGGCAAAATAAAAGTTACATGGGAAATTCAAATATTGCTATGGTATTAGCTTGTTTATTTGATGCATACTACACAATAAAAATAAGTTACTACAGAGGCACTTCAACTATAGCTAACTAATGCTAGAAGAACAATTAAATATTATTTGTGTAAACCTTGTTTTCCTATTTTGTAATATCCTATATATCTACCTTCATTTCTTATTGATAAAATTTTAATAATTTCCAATTATTTCTACATTAGCAATTAAAGGATAATGGTGTGGCAATCTCCACCAATAAAGTGGACAAAATTTATTTTATATTGATAGAAAGCTATTTTAGGAAAAGCTTCATAAAAGTTGAAAAATTATCCAGAAATCCTGAAAGTGAACAAATTGTAATAGCAAATTAAAACTTTAAATTATGGATCGCAATGGAATTTTAAAGAACTAACATTTCAATAAAGGATTTGTATTTTAAATATTAAATAGCCTAAGTAAATAAGAAAAAAATAAGTGATTTAGTGAATGAGTTTTTTCCCTTTTAAATTCTCTTTTGGAGAAAAATCACTGGTAATTTACCTATTCAAATGCTTTTCATTTCAAAATACTGATTTAATAAAAAGTAATTTTATTTAACTTCAAAGCTGAAATGTAATATGTTTGACAATAATCAGCAATACCAATGCAGAAAAAGTATACATTTAATACTTATGGAAAGAAAACAATTACTATAATATAAGGAATATCTTTATGTTAATACTTAAATACCTGAATATATATCTAATTTCATTGAAAGTAAAAGATAAAAAAGAAGCAATGAAGTCCATGGTATGAAACTATTGAGAAATAACTGGGTAAGATTTAATTCTAAAAAGTCATTTTACTAATGTTGTATGTCCAAAATGTTATCAGTTCCAAAAATGGCTGACCCTGGGTCTCTAAAGTGAAATGGGATGAGTGTAATTTTAAAAGATGACCACTTATATGTGAACTCTTGTTTCTTAAATGAAAGTTCACCACTTTTTATGAAATAAATAGCCACAAAAACTACAAACAGAAATAAATTAACATATTGGCCAGTAATTCCTTGCTATAAGCTCATGGTAATATTAAACTTTACTCCACTGACTGGCATATAAACCTATTTAAATTTGAAGTTAATACTTACACCATTATTCAACCAAAGTTAAATACAGTATTAGTATAAAACTTAGAAGAGGACAAGATTCTGACAAATATCTCCTTAGTGAAAAATAAGACTGTACAACAAATTAATAAAGAATCTTAAAATACATTTCTAAGAGGCAGGCACTAAATGTTGTTTTTGTTTTTTACATAGAAGGATTGTGAGAGGATAAAGTAGAAAAAGACATTAAAGAAAGAATATATATTGCTTGAACATATAAAACAATAAAATAATCATTATCCATTATTACCTATTACCATCACTAATATGTGTTACAGTATGTCAAGGAATGTTTTAAGTATCTTACATTGTATCACAATAGCTTGAAACTGAGGTATAGAGAGGACAAGGAATCTGCCATATGTGATGAAGTCAGATTTCAAACCTGGGCAGTCTGACTCCAGAGTCTACTCTCAATTACTAGGCTCCTGATTTACGGATTTCCTAAAAGTGAGGAGAGCTAAATTAATTAACTTTTCCTATTAAAACATAATAGTGGTATCTTTCGATATTAAAGTCAAACACTCACTGTTTAACATCTATTCAAAAAGACAAGCACATATGTAGTACATGAAATAAATTGAAAATAATTGGATTCGATATTTTACAGATTTATTTTAATCACATATCTTTTCAAGTAGAAGTTGATTATATTTCTCTCTACATTTCTTTCAACACTGCTATACTGCTTATGAATTAAAGATTTTCAATGGTCCCATAAGTGGTTAGTATCCCAACAAACATGTATAGAAAAGATATTATAAATAGTGGGATAATAAAAAAAATCATGGCAATAATCTACTTCTAACTAAGAAATAATACAAGGAGTCTTCAAAAATTTCATGAAAATGCATACTGTGAAAAAACTTGCATGGATTTCAATTTTTTTGCACCAAATAAAATTTAATTATGTTTTTCTATAAACTTTTTGAAGTAGTCTCATATTTGTGTGTAATTATTACATGTGAAGAACTTTAAAAACCTGACTGCAAGCTACTGCACATATTTAGAAGTGACAGGAAGAAGTTTGTATTATAACAATGTTATAAAGTATATATTAAAGCTAATTTTTCAGATGAAATACTTTTCAACTATTTTCAGATATATCTACTGATGTGCATAGAGTTCAATTCTAGACTTATAGTCATGAGCAATAACAGAAATAAAGTGCAACTAAAAAATTCTACAAGAATGAACACATTCAATTTTATGTAACATTTTTATTTTTAGTATCAATAAACAATTTGTTATAACTGCTTTTAGTAACCAAAACTGACTTATATCCTTCTGGTAGTACTAATGAGAAAAACAGCCAAAAAAAAGAGAAGAAAGTAGTTTCTTGGAGAATTTTCAAATTAATCACCCTCTAAGTGATGAGGAGTCCACAGAAATATATCTGATTACTTGCTCACCTCTGAGAAAGGGTTAACAGCAGGAGGACATGTAATTCAAATGTATATTTTTGGAACTGAGACAAATATGGCCTACCTTTTCATCAAAACCTTCATTCCTCCTTTTCTCTTTTAAACAATTAATTAATTCTGGAGCAGACTTGAACAGCTCCCTTTTTGCTCAGCTTGCCAAAATGACATTTGTTTCATTCTGTCTCCAAATGTTGGTTAACCAACAAGAGCCAAAGCAACCTCACAGTCAAGTTGGTATAATAAGGCATATTGGGAGATAGTCCAAGTACTAAATAGAAAAAGAGCCTTCTGAAGCCAAAAGGCTTTCCCTCAAGGATGCTCTCCAGCCCCTTATTCTCTATTCCACTTAGCTCTTGGCTCTGATCCAGTATTGATTTGTTCCAATAGCTCTTATTTTCCATCCTTTATTTCAATTGCTGTTGAAAAACAATGTAGAAGAAAGTTTCATATGATTTAATCATAATGAAGCATGTTCTCACCATTCTTTATAAAGGATGAAACTAGAGGGAGGAAGCATGGGAGAGGCTGGATAATGGGAACCAAAATACAATTGGTTGAAGGTAATGGGTTTTGGAGTTCTGAAGTACATTGGGGTGACTATTGTTAATGATCATGCATTATATTTGGATAAAAAGCTGCAACAGAGGAACCAGTGGGTTCCAAACACAGAGAAAATGTAAGAAAAAGGAAAGGCTAGTTATCTGATATGATCAGTTTCCAAGGTTTAAATATGTTAAATTAGTGCACTGTACCTCATACGTATTATATGTGAATATAAAATTGCTAAAAAAAAAAAAATAATCATCTGAAAGAGGGAGGATCCTCAAATCTACTTATTTCAAATGTAATTAAGCTTACTTAAAGTGAGTGAATTTTAAAATGATAGTGGAATAATACATGAAAAATCTCCAGTCCTTTCCCCTTTGACATGAATTACAACAATTTTATACTGTACTCATTGTATTAATATTCAACATTTACAGTTTTTCTTTTCCTATTTTTGAAATATTGTTCCCATGAAATATTGTCAAGATTCTTTTATAAATGAATTTCTCTAAGTAGTAATATTTTTAAAGTTATCTTCGTAAGTTTCTCACACCTTTAGCAATTTCAAATTTGATTGTGGGATAATTTGATTTGTTCACATATACTCCATGTAGAATTACTTGGGCTCAACTCTACTTCTATTTTTTACTACCTATCTGATACAGAACAAATTGGTAAAGATCTGTAATCTATTTTCTCATTTATAAAATTAGAAAATTAATACCTACTCTACAGTGTTATAAGGAAAATACCTGGCAAATGATAGAAACGATAGTCCTATATTTCTTTTTTCTCTTCCAGACCTTTCCCAGACTATGGAAGTAAATCTTGTGCTTTGCATTTTAAGCTCATGACTGTTCCAAAGAGCAGATTTTGATCTCCCTCTTTTAAATAATAAAAGACTTGGCCAGAATTATATCTTTATAAAAATCAAAATTTCATGAAGTCCATTTATTAGCATCCTCTTGATTATGTTAACATGCTTATTTCCTTCCATGATCTGAGTGGATTAGAGGAACAAAATCAGGCTCTTTTCTCAGAACATCATCTTTTTTTTTTTTTTTTTTGACAGGCAGAGTGGACAGTGAGAGAGAGAGACAGAGAGAGAGACAGAGTGAAAGGTCTTCCTTCTTCCGTTGGTTCACCCCCCCCAATGGCTGCTGAGGCCTGTGCACCGTGCTGATCTGAAGCCAGGAGCCAGGTGCTTCTCCTGGTCTCCCATGCAGGTGCAGGGCCCAAGGACCTGGGCCATCCTCCACTGCACTCCCGGGCCTCAGCAGAGAGCTGGACTGGAAGAGGAGCAACCAGGACAGAACTGGCGCCCCGACCGGGACTAGAACCCGGTGTGCCGGCGCCGCAGGCGGAGGATTAGCCTATTGAGCCACGGCACCGGCCCAGAACACCAAATTAAGAACTACAGACTTGGAAAGTTAAAATGAGCTTTAGGTGCGATCTGCTCCTGTGCTCCCACATTCTACTTACAAAACAATCAAGACCAAAGAGGTGAAGTTTACTCCCTCACCTACCTATGGTCACTCTCATAATTACATTTTACCTAAGTGATTTGTATCTCGGTGTTAGGACTTCTGGTCTAATATTATGTAGTATTAATTCATAATTTTCAACTCTATGTGCCATGCTTACAGAACTTCCTTTCCTTTAGAACTACTGAAAGAGATATGGAAAGGAAAATCTGCGATTTCATAGGCTGTGGTTTCTTTCTTTTCTCTCTCTCTCTCTCTCTTTCTGTTTCTCTGTCTCTCTCTCTTTCTCTCTTTTAAATAAGACTAGACTTTGTCTATGTAACCAAAAGGAATACAGTAATTCCCCCATAACCTTGGGGAGTATATTGCCAGTGGATGCCTGAAACAACAGATACTACCAAACTCTGTATAGTATGCTTATGCTAAGGTTTAACTTGCAATTAGGCAAATAAGAGATTAATCATAAAAATAGAACAATTAAAACAATATACTGTAATAAAAGTTGTATGAATGCACTCTCTCAAAATATCTTACTGCACTTTCATTTTTCTTAACTTAAAATAAGCACCTTATTACTTCTCTTTGTCATATGCAAATTGTCAGCATCATTACTCTTGTGTTTAGGGGCTACTACTAAATAAAATAAGGGTTAATGGAACACAAGCCCTGTAATATCACAACAAATAGTCTAATAACAAAGATGGCTACTAAGTGATTAATGGGCAAGTAGCATACATGTATAGCATGAATATGATAGGCAAAGGTATGAATTGTATTCTGGGTGAAACAGCATGGGATGGCATGAGATTTCCTCATTGTACTCATGATGGCATATAATTTAAAACTTATGAATCATTTACTTCTAGAATTTTCCATTTAATATTCTTAAGACCATTGATAATTATGGATTAGAAAACCATAGAAAGCAAAATCATGGAAAAGGGGGTACGAGTGTAGTAAGAACTTAAAATAATAATTATAAATATTAGAAATAATCACTAAAAACCGAATAAAGTCAGATACAACACTTACAGGTTACAATGATGACATGTAACACTGTTGACTATGTCTGAAATCTTTATTTTCATTTTCCTAGGTAAACACCCACAAAAGCCACAAAAATATGAGGAACTATGGATATCCAGAAGTAATTTGCCAAATATCAGGAGAAAAGTCACAGTACAGAATAGATGATCTCAAACCGCAAAGTCACTGGTGTTCAGTGAAGGCTTTGCCTTCTGGAACAGTTTTTAGATATATTTTGAGAAAAAGTCAAGTCACATAAAAAGTTAAATCTGCTTTTAGATCTTTAAATATATTTATTGAATTCCATTACTAATGCTAGTTTCCAAGATTTCTATTTTTCAAAATATAATTGGTAAAATCATCTCAAGGGGAATGTAGAAAGACTGTAGCATTAAACCAACATGTAGTTGTGTAATAGGTAAGATCTTCTCCAGCCAGTTTTTTTTTTTTTTTTTTTGTCTCTCTCATCAATATCAGTTTTACATGGTTTCTTTCTACAGGCTTATCTGGAAAAAAATTCTCCCTTTGGTTAAAATTAGAGCCAATATACTTTATAATCAGGTGAACAAAATATAAAAGATGATTATCTTTATTATAATAAAAAATATACCTTGTAGATGTTAGCCCAGTGTTGCCAATATCTCTAAGAATAGATATGAGTGATAAACAATATCAGTGGTTTTTTTTTTTTTTTTAGCTTACTCACCACCCTAGGGGAAGGAAGAGCTATTAAAATCAGGACAAACTAATGTACAACAACAAATAAAATACCTACTTGCATGGGAAGTTAACATTGTGGATATTTATCATAAAATTCTTAACTTAAAAAATTATTTATGGGGGGTTGGGGGAGGAGCAAGGGAAAGGAGATTGAGAGGAGAAGGAGCAGGAGAAAAGAAACAGAGCTTATTTCCATTCACCAGCTCATAGCTCACTCCCTAAATGCCTATGACAGTCCTGAGCCGGAAAGTCAATCCAGGTCTCCCACATGGGTGGTAGGAACCAAATTACCTGTGCCATCATTGTTGCCTCTCAGGGCCCTCTTCAGTACGAAGCTGGAGTCAGGAACCAGAGCCAGGTATTTAAAACAGGTACTCTGATACAGTTCACCCCATAAAATTCTTATCTTAAGGAATGCATTCAAAGCTAAATGAATATCAAATTAAACAGGATAATTCAGAAATCACCATTTTTCAATTCTTTCATTTTATCTTTATAAAGCTTCTTATCATGACAGACTTTTACTACCTTAACTCTTCTAGGAGAAGAATACCAAAATGCTCAGTATCTGTTGAAAAACATAAACTTCCATAATTGGATACTGCTTTGCCGACAGGATTAGCTGTCTGCTGATGGATGGTGGCTTTGATAAACATAGTATCTCTTACCAGCCCTTCACTTGGTTTGATGTTTGCGAGCTGAATCACTTCCAGGTGAGCAGACTGTGAAACCAGAGGATCTGATGACAGGGATATGATATGGTCACAAACTCCAGAAAGAGTTTTACACTGGAAGCAAAAAAAAAAAAAAAAAGAAAGAAAGAAAGAAAAAGAGTTATTGTAAACACACGTTATAAGTAGCATACAAATCACCATTTGCTACATTTTTTTTAACAAGGAAAAGAAACAAGAAAGCAGTTGGCATTTTATTCTGTAAAGCCTGTATAAAAGAGGCTTGCATTTGGACTCAGTGGGTTATGCCACTGTTTGAATGCCAGAATCCAATATTCAAGCACCAGTTTCATTCCCAAGTACTCTACTTCTGATCCAGTTTCCTGCTAATGCTCCTGGGAAGGCAGCAGCAGATGGCCCAGGTACTTGGGTCTCTGCCACCCATGTTGGAGATCTGGATGGAGTTCCTGGCTCCTGGTTTCCACCTGGCCCAGAACTGGCTGTTGTGGCCATTTGAGGAATAAACCAGCAGATGTAAGAACTCTCTCTCTCTCTCTGTTACTCTGCCTTTCAAATAAATAAGTAAATAAATCTTTAAAAATCGGTATAAGAGGATATCCAGATGAAAAAGTATGTAAACATTCACATAACACATCTATAGTCTTATTTATGGATAACTATATAACTAGTTTTAAAAAGGTTCAGTAAAAATGCATGTTATTAAAAAACAATACATGGATTTCAAAATTTATTTGCACCAAAATAAACAGCTTTTAATTCCATTTTCCACAAACCCTTTTGAAGTCTCCTTGTATGACAGTACTCATGAAAGTTTTGGTTAAGTGTTACTCGTATTTCTTTTATTTGATTCATCACACCTAAAATGATTGTCCCAAAATGATCTTATTAATCTGGGGAACTTCTTGAGAGTCATGTGGTTGAACTGAATTAAATAATACCAAAAATGTCACTTATTTTAAGAATAGTTAAGTAAAAAAAAAAATCTGACCAAGGTCCAGAAAGAGGGATCTCTCATGTCTAATTGACAGACTCTTCCTACTTAACTGTCTAGACTTTCTTGTTCAAATTATATTGGTAAAATGTTTCCTATATCCTCTAGGCCAAATTTGCTACTTCCTAAATTTTGCTTTCTTAGCAATCTATGAACAGTCTGAAACTGTATGATAGATATCTTCATGTTCAAGTCATCTCTGACTTCTCTGCCTCATCCCACCTACCATCCACACCAGGTAGACAGATTATAGAATATATAAGGCACTCAGTATATTAGTTGAATGAATTAAAGAGCAAATAAAGTTTAACATTTAATAGAGTAGGTGGAATAAGGCCAGAAACCCAGTGCTTTAGTCAGGTAAGTTCAGTCATACTTACACAAAACAGACTTAAAATATATTTTATATTCATAATTATATGGTTAATATGTAAACATGGTAATACCATGAAGAAAGCAGGACATGAATGATGAAGCTTCGCATATGAAATATGATGGCCCTCCAATGCTTCAGAATCTCATTGTACTTACTGAAGCCTGGTTTTCATTATTTGAGATTTAAAAAAAATCTTTATCTTAAGGTGAGCTCATATTTTGCAACAATCAAGTTGTTACCTGCTGTCCATCACCAACAAGTTCTGTGATCACTGTGTTAGTATACTATAAGGGAAACAATTTCCTTTATCTGGTCAGGATAAGGAGTTTCCGTTTATTTACAGGACTGTCCTTGTTCCATAGTCTGTGCTGGGCTGTTTCCTCTTGCTTACAGAAATTGCTAGGCTGAAATTTCCTTTCGAATCACACTTGTGCTATTTGCATCTGCTTCTCAAGGGTGCTCTTTTACTGTGGTTATCAGCCCCTCAAAGACAGACAATAGCCACATAATACTACTACCCCTGGAAAGAACAAAGGCTTGATATGAAGACATTTGTGGACAATCACCACATTGCCAATGACTCCTGTGAATGTAATTAAGTTATTTTGTATCCTTGAGGCTGTTTATTCAGGTAGAAAATGAAAGCAGATCGAAAAAAATTACTTAAATATGGTTTACATGCCAAAACATAATATACTAAAAATAAGTTCAATCCCAAAGGGACAAATACCACTTGTTCTCCTTGATAGGTGACAACTAACTGAGCACCAAAAAGGAAACCTGTTAAAGTGAAATGAACACTAGGAGAAACGGTGACTTGATCAGCCCTCACCCTGACTGTTGATGAGCAGCTTAATATGTTATCCCTCTTAGTATTTTTTTTGTTTGTTCTACTTAATACTTTTGGTTGAATACTGTAATCAATACACAATTCTTAAGTGCTGAAACTTAACTGAAAAGTGATCGCTGTTAAATATGAGTGGGAATAAGAGAGGGAAGAGATATGCAATTCAGGACATGCTCAAGCTGACTTACCTCAAATGGTAGAGTTAGAAACATACCAGGGGATTCCAATTCAATCCCATCGAGGTGGCATGTACCAATGCCATCTCACTAGTCCCAGTGATCAATTTCTGTTCACAATTGATTGTAATGATAGGACTAAGAACCAAAGGGATCACATAAACAAGACTAGTGTCTGCAAATACTAGCTGATAGAATCAAAAAGGGAGAGAATGATCCAACATGGGAAGTGAGATACACAGCAGACCCATAGAAAGGCAGATGTCCTAAACAGCACTCTGGCCTCATAATCAGCCCTTAAGGCATGCGGATCTGGCTGAAATGCCCATGAGAGTATTTCAGGCATGGAAAGCCAAGACACTCTGGGGGAAAAAAAAAACTAAATGAAAGATCTCCACGAGTGAGATCCCAGTGGAAAGAACAGGT